TCACTTGAGCCCAGGAGTTGGAGGTTGCTGTGAGCTGTGATGCTACGGGCACCTCTACCCAGGGGGATAGCTTGAGGTTTGGTCTCAAAAAATATATATATATCTTCTAGGGAAGATAAAAAACGGAAATTTCCAAACTAAAGTTGCAACCCCAGCAAGAACAATTATCAAATGTCAGAGACAGAGGCAACCTTAGAAATTACCCATGGGGCCGGGCATGGTGGCTCACGCCTGTAATCCCAGCCACTCTGGGAAGCCCAGACAATGGATAGCCTGAGTTCACAGGTTTGAGACCAGCCTGAGCTAGAGAAAGACCTGGTCTCTAAAAATAGCTGGGTGTTGTGGCAGGTTCCTAAAGTCCCAGCTACCTGGGAGGCTTAGGCAAGAGAATTGCTTGAGCCCAAGAGTTTAAGGTTGCTGTGAACTATGACGGCACAGCACCTACTAAGGGTGACAAAGTGAGACTCTGTCTCAAAAAAAAAAAATTATCTATATTACATTACAAAAATTATCTATAATTTTTACAAAAAATATTACAAAAATTATCTATATTACATCTTTGACATGTCAAAGCAGACAAAAATATGCCCAGTAGGTTAAGAACAGACTCCGAATTCAAGTTTACCAAGCAGATACATGCCAAATATCAATATAATAGATTTTAAAACATGTAAAAAAAATCCATATTAAACTTAACAAATCAAAGTACTTACATTAAGAAGTAATTCATCTTTTGTTTTAAGTGGAAAATTTTTATTTTCCTTCTCAAATTGCAAATCATCTTCTCCATCTGATAACACTGGAGGAAGTGAACTACAAGAGGAAGAGGAGGAGGAGGAGGAGGAAGATGATGAGGAAGAGGATGAGCTTGAGCTATCCGAATCTGTTTCACTGTAGAGAAGAAAAAGGTAAAAACTTAGCCAAGTATTATAATGACATTAAAATAAAATTATTCCACTAGAAAATATCAACTTACTACATGTTTACCATTGCTGTTCAAAATCAAAAGACAGTATTTTTTTTTTTTAGAGACACTCTCACTTTGTTGCCCTCGGTAGAGTGCTGTGGCGTCACAGCTCACAGCAACCTTCAGCTCTTGGGCTTAGGTGATTCTCTTGCCTCAGCCTCCTGAGTAGCTGGGACACAGGCGCGAACCACAATAGCCAGCTACAAAAAAGATAGTATTTTGAAGTTGACTATGGTATTGGAAAAGTAATCTTTAATTCACTAAGAACATTTTCACAATTCCTGCTAACATCCAGAACCTCTTATAATAGTCTCATACATCTGTCTGACTACAATTAAGCATGTGACAAATCACTGACAAAAAGGAGCTCCTGGGCATGGCACCACTCTTAGTCACCAATGATCACTTAATTGCCAAAAATGAGTTTCTTCTGTCTTCAGACAACTTGGGAGCTCCTCCAACCTACTAAGCATGTCTACTCTCTGAAACCTCTGTTGATGCTTGACTTCCACAGAAATTCCTGGTCTCAGTTTAAATTTTGTTTGCTGGTTCACCCTTCGAAACCTTAAAAATGTGGTATTTTTAAGGGCTCCATCTTAAGTTACTTTCTCTCCTGTCTCTGTACTTTTTCCATAGACAACTTCATCTACTCCAATGATTTCAATCATAACTCATGTACAGATAATCTAAATCTTCAGTCTTGACACCTCTGAAGTTCACCCCAATCCCTAATTGCAAATTGACCACTTCTATATAAATGACCTAACTATATCCATCACACTCGCAACAAGTTAAAAACAACAAGAAAAAAGTGCATTCTCCTAACTCTGCTTCTCAAGGATCCTTGAGTTTCTATTTTATTTCATTGCTTTGTTTTTATTCTAGTCACTACAGGTTGAAATCCCAGAATCATTTTGAACTATTGCATTTTCACAATAATGATATAGTTCTACTTTCAGACTGGTAAACATCAGTCTTATCCCACATCTTCATCTCATTTTCACTGTTATTACCTCATTTCAGTCACTCATTTGTGACCTGCTTTTCCATACTAGTTCAGTAACTCTAATGCCAATACTTGCCTCTCCTCACAATCACACCTTTATCCCAGTACTATTACCCTTAGCTTCTCATAACCTTCTATCCTAAATTAGTTCATACTTTTGTTTTAAAGAAAATATGACTAGGCTCAGCACCTGTGGCTCAAGTGGCTAAGGCGCCAGCCACATACACCTAAGGTGG